AGCGGTTAAGGTTTTAAGCTTAGTGTTATTATATAAGATGGCTTTTACCCATGGCTTCGCCCGCGTTAGTTTTAAATTATCCCACGGGAACTTAATACTGAGATAAAAAATCCTATGTCATATTCCGGGTTATGGTCTATCTGTATGCCAAGTTTCATCGAAATCGGTTAAGTAGTTTTAGAGTTTATTCGTTACAAACATACAAAAATACAAATCTTTCCTCTATATAATATTAGTGTAGATTATTATATGTATAGATAGATAATGTAGACGGATGATGAATATAGATACTTACTTAAATAAACAATAGGGGAATTTCATATTTAGAAAAAAAGTTTGAAGATTGTTGTTTTTTACTGAATGTTTTTGACGTCAGGCGACGGTACAAACGCTGCGGTTTGCACGCTCGCATGCAACTTCTAGACATGTGGAGGAATGGAGATATGACTAGTCAGAATCTCATATTTCGGTATGTAAAAATAAGCTTGTATTTATCTTATAATTTTTTCACAATTACTATGATAACTTATTTGTTTTTATGAAATATAGAAGAAGTTGAACAATTGTATGAAAACGTAAAACGTGTCGATGCTCACTAATTGTAGGTACCTACTACAATAATAATCAGATCGATTAAGTAAATCTTGTGTTTTATTCCAGCATAGAGGTACATCTAAGCTATTAAAAAAATAAATTAATAACAAAAAACTATTTATTTTTAATCTTTATAATAATAATAGCAGGTAAAACCAGGCTTAATAATTGTATGTCGATATTGATCAATTGTTATGATCCGTCTCCTTAAAAAGAATTCAGCTACGTTGCAAATTCGCTAACGCTGATATACTATTAACATACCATGATTTTGCTTGCCAAATCATTTTAATAAAATGTATGAAAACAATAACCGTGAACAAAAATACAGTAGTATTATTTTGTCGATATATATTTTCGATAAACAATAAAATGTTAGGCGTCGTAATGTCTGCGGTTTCAATTTCACCATACCATTTTTGTATAGATATTAACATCTAACAAAAATATACGATATTGAACTCTATGTATTAAAAGAAATAATTAAATTTAAAAATATAAAAGGGGGATATAATAAATTGAAATCCATTTCATCTTTGAATCTGATGGTGAAGACTGAATCAGACTGATATAATTGCGGAATGTCGGTAAGTGTTACTTTAATACATTCACTAACAATTTAAAAATGTATTAATATTAACAATAGTAGTAAGTAGCATCACAGCATTAATTATTTCCACATAAGCCTTTATTTCAATCGTAACGTTTGTAGTGTAACTTAAATTAATATTGTATTGTTATTTCAGGACTCGGAGGATCTCTTCAATTTTGTACCCATGAATCAACCAGTCCAACAAACCACTGGACAGAAGACGCTGGGTCTCGCTCGCAAGAGATCAAAAACAGATCAGACATTCTATCAATTTATAAAGAAGCCTGTTTCTCGTGGAACGAAAATAATAAAAATAGAAATCTATGATACAGACAGTTTTCAAAAATCCGAACAGCCGATGTGTAATTGTGAGGCTGATGTGTGTGTTCAACATGTTGTGAAAACTATATTATACGATGATATATATACCAGTACGAGAGAATTAATTGCCAAAATTCAGGATGACATCGAACCAAGAGTATAGATTTAATAATTTAAAATGTATAGACGTTACCGTTTACCACTTATGTATGTTTAATTTTCTAAAAAAGTTTATGTAAATAATTATAAGTGTACCTATGTAGTAATGAATAGATATCAACTATAAAAATATCAAAAATTGTATATTTAAAATAAAATAATTCAAAATATCATTTTTTTATTGCTAACTCATTCTTATACATGTAATAAATAGCCACTGCACTACGTACCTAGGTATATAAGGCAGCGCAATGGACAATAGCGAGAGCATTCCATATTATCATATTCAATAAGTATGATCTTTTTTATGAATATTACTGCCATGCCTGCTATCTTAAAATAATATGTGAATAGAAGATTAAAATGTGGAAAATAGGGTATCCAGATCTCTGATCTGGATGCCCTATTTTCCAACTACTTCGGTGAAATGAAGAAAAGACAGAGTTACTTTCGCATTTATAATATTAGTTTGGATTAATATAAGTATTGTACTATTATAAGTGTATACGTATGTATGTGTATGTATGTATAAGCTATGCTTCGGCACGAATGGGTCGGCTCGACCGGAGTGATACCACGGCCTTACAGAAAACCAGCGTGAAACAACCAGCATTGTGTTTCGCCGTGTGACTGAGGTTACTGGAGGCCCAATCCTTCCCCTCCCCAATCCCTAAATCTCCCAATTTTAATCCCCAAAAGTTCGACAATACACTCGTAACTCGTCTGTTGCGGGTGTCTATGGACGGCGCTGATTGCTTACCATCAGGTTATCCGTCAGCCCGGTTGCCGACCACTTACATAAAAAAATACTAGTAGGTAGAATTTCTCGATGTTATTTCAGAAAACCTTGCTCGGGGAATTCCTTCTGTACCAGGTAAAATACAATGCAGGCCAAACAAATAATGCATCATCTCCCCACTTGAGCAGGACAAACAACTTTACAAGTTAGCAAACTTGTCGAAGATCACGTACACTGGTGACGCAGAGTACCTACTGCTGTTGATAACGTCCAATACTAACTACGTACTATTTATAGGTATCAGTAGGTTTTTGTTACTAATTAGTCAGCTTCTGTAGAATGCCGGGTTGCACGCAGACAGGTTGGCGTCACCTTCCTTAGGTACTTACATATCAATAATTACTTTTGATTTTAACCAATACCCAACCACTTTGTCGGAAATATATTCTATAGCCAGCTCTTCAAGTCAAGCAAAGCTGGAGGAGCTTCTTGGATTTTTGTTATTATGGCCCATATGACAAAACTACCCAAGATCCTTGTGTAGTGGTGTCGGGGCTACTATTAGATTAAGAGTTTTTACAAAGATAATCATTAAATGATCACACGGACGACTAAGGTAGGTACCACGCAAATGGTTTTGAGTTCGACAACTAAATCGAAAAAATCTTAAAGGGATTTACGATACCAACGGTATTCGAAATTCGCAATAACATGTACGGAACGAGACATGATAACAGGTCAGTGGATCCTTAACTGAAAAAAAAATAATCAATCTCCTTAAAAATATTGATTCAATTGAGGTTGTATCTTAATTATACCTACGGCTTGAGTATCACCTATAAGTCCTACAACCAACAACATTGCAAGTCGTTAAGGAAAAATTACGCCTTCAAAAAAGTAAACTAGGCATAACAATGTTCTATTATAATACTTATTCATGATTTATTTACCTTGAGCGCTGTAAATAAAATATGTATAATTATCACATACCTACCTACGATAATTAAGAATATGTTGAGGAAAATTATATCGTCCATAAATAGTAGGTATCTTGTAAAGGCAACTACCGATTTTTTTTTTTGCTTACTATATGGCGATAGTTTTGATCTCGTGTATTTTCGTGAAACAGAGAATTAGCTAGTATCCACAATGGGGGCTGACGCGTAAGAATTTGCCGCTAGAGGCGCTGGTGTCAGGAAAACTCGGCGAGATGAAAAATATGTTTCCTATTATTTTCGAGGGCGGGAAGGAGAACTTTCTTAGTATGTAATGTGTCCGCTGAAATATCTTAAAAAATTTAGACTGGCGCTACGGTAGCAACAGGCTCAATTTTGTGACTCAGCTAACTTCAATTTGTCATCAACTACGACTTCAGCACCGTGTACCTACGTGTGATGCCGTGTTCTTTGAAGTTCAAGGACCTGAAAGTTTTCTGTACCTTCTTGGTTCCAGATAAATCGAATTGAAACCACTTTAAAAGAAATACTAGATTTCATCTCGATTGATTTAAAAGAAGGGCGACTGGGACCGAAAAAATTCGGACCGCGGTCCCAGTAACCGGATCCGTTAAGTTTTAATATTTATTTTTTAAATGATATCTGAAATAAAATATGTAGGTACAGTCAACCGAAAACATTTTCTATATTTTAGATACATTACGAATCCGGCTACTGGGGCCACGGTCCAAGATCTTGTAATCTCAGTCGCCGGAAGCCTTACTAAAAAAATATGTAGGTACCTCTAGGAGGAATTCTTGCAGTAACTTCTACTTCATCGGATAGCTTTTCAACCTGATATTTGATTCATACAGCCAGTGTGTGCAACAATTTTAATCTGCATTTTTAATACTGATGCTTATTTATAGTAATTTATTTAGATATGATCGATATTCTTCATAATCTTGATCATGTTCTAGGAAACTGCTATCAATATGATACATTAAAAAACCCATTTTTATTGTAATAACCAAAACAGAACATTAAATATGTTTATGTAATTAGTTAAAAAAATTGTTGGTGTTAATAGATTCCAAGATGAGAAATGTCAAAAACAACTATTTTCTATGAGTTTTGTATGCAATAGCGCGATGTGACATCATCGGTACTTGATGAGAAGAATACTTAATGCTTCAGAATTATCTAAAACTACGAATGTTAGGTAGGTATATCGGAAAATAATAAAGAAACTTACAATAACTGAAATAAACAATATAAAAACTCTAACGTATATTAAACTGGTTCTAATTAAAAAATGTGATATAAAGTAGCAAGAAATAACTATGAAACAGTCGTTCTCATGTAGATCCTTTTGCGCATGTCAGAAATACTGGTTTTTCGTTGAGAGACCTGAAAACCAAATCATGTTAAATTGAAACAATCAAATTCAAAGCGTGGATAACAATCGTGTTAGTGCATAAATCTGCAAACACACAACAGCAGTTAATTTCGCAATTTTTCTGTTAACACAAAGATCGAGCGTGTGGTGACTTCTCAAACATCACCAACCCTAAAAAAAATTTTCGCGCTTAAATATTTTTTTATTTGTAACACTGGGGTATACAAAAGAGGTTACAACATTAAATAAAAAGCAAACACAAAAAGTTAATACATTTATTTAAAAAATAAATTAACTAAAAATGAAGTTGTCATGATAATTGAATCTAAAAATCACAGACGTTTAAACTAATAATTATATTACTCTATTTTTTATTTTTGCATGAAGCAATCAATAAAAAACTGTTACGATCGTAAATCGAACAGGGCGTCGATTTTATGGTTTCGATAAGAATTAATTAAACGTAGAAATCAGTACATGGAATGCAAATGGCTTAGAAGTCGTTTACAGAACCAATTTTGCTCGTTATTTTCAGCGAAATTAATTATAAAACAAATATTTCTGTTTTTAACGAGCAAACGTTAGTGGAAATGAGAAATGAGCGAAAATAATTCTCTATGTAGTTTAACAATCATAGAAACGGAAATTTAATAAACAATTCACAGCAATACAATTAACAAAAACCATATATTATAAATAAAAATAAAAACTATAGACGCCTAATACAAAATTATAATTATATTACATATGTACCAAAATTAAAATAAATAAAATCAAAAAATAAAATGGCCAAATCTTTACAGCTCTTGTACGCAGGGGACAAATATTGAACCATTATCAAGGTACACATTTACAGAAATAAGTAAAATAAGTATCCAAATATCATATTTATACTATATAAACAAAACAATGTATCTGTGTGAACCATCAATTTATGTATACAGGAGCGATCACAAGTAACTGCGAAAGGAACTAAGTTATTGAAGTGTTGCCATAACAAGAAATATATATATATTATTACAGCTAGTAATACTTAAACGTGTATCAATTCGTTTGTGACCTAATTGACTTAACTGTAGATGTATCTAAATATTTCATTCCACGATATATCAGAATGTTTAAAATATATATGCTTATGTGCATAGCACACAAGAAAATATAAATATATCGATTAATTTTACACATAAAAAAATTGTTACGAGTCAATCAAATCCAAATGTTTTTTTCTGAATCTATGCTATCCAATTTTGTATGCAGATTGTCTATTTCATTTCGCAGATAACAAAACTACAATGGCTTTTGGTTAATTTAGTTTTTTGGATAACGGCCAGTTACAATTGGGATTGTATCAATGTTATATCAACCTTGAATTAAATGTGTCCAAACTATGTTAGGATACATACTATTTTAAATGAAAACATTTTAAATTTCAGATGATTAGTTTCAAAATTATATTTGAAATTCAAAAAATACCTACGTGAATGTAAGTTTTAACAAAGGCAATAAAATCTTTAACAATGAAAATATACGCAGTTCATTTGAAGCTAAAATAAACGTTCAAAATGGCTAACATGGAGGGCAAAGGCTATTGCACGCTGTTATTACTCAAATATGACTAGAGAAATTAAATATTATAGGATTGTTGAGCCAATTTTAACTAAATATGTTATTAAGGAACCATTCACGCGGATGGATTATACATTTTGGCAAAAGCATTGATTAATAATCAAAAACACAAATGTAAATAATACAGAATTTTGTCACTTTAACTTTATCTTAAAACTATTTTATTACATTATAAGACCCAATCATCGATCCAAATCTAGTCAACCAAATAAATACAATCATGTAATGTACATAGGCTGTACAAGAATGGAAATGACAATCAATTAGTGTCCAAACGCCTTGTTTTTCTGTAGATAGCTACTTACTTATCCATTAACCTTAGTCTAAACACGACACGAAATAAAGGACAAAGCTGAACATCTCAAGGTCAGGCCAAAAAACACGTTGAATCCAGAATTTCAATTTTGGAAGACCTATATTGTTTTTGCTTTGTTCATTCGATATTTTGTGAAAATGAGAAGTATTCTCTTTTCAAATTGTTCCAATGATATATTTTAAATTATAAAACAAAATATCGATCGCTTTGCTCCAATTTTAAAATGTGAATACTAAATTAGTGTAACTTTCTGGCTTTAAAAAACAAATGGCGTGTCAGTAGTGATATCCATTATGCTTAGTCATTGACACGACACGTGAACTAATTTTAAAATAATAGCCTTTGACAATCACTCTGTAATTATCAACACGACTGGGATTTGAAATCGATATCCAACGATGTTTAGCTTTGCCCTATATAAAAATTATTAAGCTCAACACTTCACTGGGTTTTACAATAAATATTTAAGTCTTGTGATGAATTAATAAAATAAGTTGGCGTTATAAGGAAGCCTACTAACCCTTAGGTGTGAAGGTAAATTAGAAGTAGTAAGAAGGAAAAGGATGAAAAATAGTCAGTTTTATAATTTCATTTACAATGAGTATAACAAAAGAATTTTGAAAGAGTATTAAGAAGTTTGCCTTCGCATTTGTCTGACTTCTGTTACAAGAGAAGCTGTAAAAAGTAGTTTAGAAAAAGTAAAAACAAAAATAAAAAGCAGTCTATGCTCCGTTTAAAGTCAGGATAGACTATTACTAAATAAATAATATACTTAAAAATTCCATACTCGTAAAGTGAGTAGGGAAATTCTCCCGTCCATTTTCCACAATAAATTAAGTCCCTAACGCAAAACAGAGTGACTTTAAGGAACATTGAATTATTCTAAGTCCCAATAACGCCAATAAGATTATTCTAGAAGTATTTGTCCATTCTTCTCACTTCATATCCCGGATGCTCCCAAATAACGGCTGCTTTTGTTCTCCTTCTCTTTGCGAGCTGCGTAAAATATTTAATTTATTATTAAATACCAAAAAAAAAAATACTACAATAAATCTATGATTTAGTAAAAGAACGTTAAATAATTTGAATTTTGACAGTTAAAATGGCGGCCACGATCTTTCGTTGATTTGTTATTTTCTTAATTATAAAATGGTGATCCATGCATTTCAATAATCTTAGGTTATTGTAACATTTTAATATTAATCGTTTACTACGTTTTACAATATTTTATACCAACAAACTGTTTTTACCTAAACATAAGCCAGTAGTGTGCAAACTATTGTCAATGGTATCTCCAGCGTATATATAATTTATCCCAAATGATTATATTTATTGAAATATAGTTATTGAGTGGGCATTGGGCATTCTTATCATAATGAGTGATTTCTTCCACACAATCTTTGTTTGGAAATTTAAAAGAAACTTGGGAATATAATACTGATCCTTTTAAGACAGTGGACGTATTTTTTCTATTTAAATGTTGCCAACTACTGGTCCATGCTTAAGTTTAATACCCTTTTATCATAGCTGCGATTTAAAATAATAACTACTAATAATTACTATCATTGACATGCAATTTAAAAATAACAAAGCTTTTTACCATTCCATCCATTAAGATTATTAATACTACATATCTATGATACATATAGGTAGTTTAAAAAAAGGATATTGTAGTGACGAACGAGCATTTCTGAAAAACTTTAAGTGGTTTTCAAAAATAAATAAATTGACAATTACGATAAGAAATAAACTTCGCCATTTTAGATCACTACTAACATCCTTTTTAATAAACTACCCAGCCAGAACTAAACCAGTACTGGAAATATACTCTTAATTAGTTAAAAACATAATATATTCTACTACATTCACGAAGAAACACGTGTACGTTTAGCGTAGAGACAATCACTTTTGCGGACAAAGCAAATATTTGTCAATAATGTCAACAATGTCATACATGAACACCTGAACCGTTTCACACGATACTTTGCGCAGATATCAATTTTGTACTAGAACTCTTCATTTTAGTACTAACTGCCGTACTGCCTACTCAGATTAATTCCATGATGACTAAATCCCTAAATCCGATCCTTAGCAATTGTTTTCGTCACTTTTAAGAATAGTTTAAATAATCATTAAATGTTTCAGAGTACGGCATCAAATTTGAGAAAACGAAATACCTAATGGAACAAGTGTTTACGGTAGAAGATTCCATGTAAGTACGGGACTTGACATAAGTAAGGTTTGACGTAACTTGTCGAATGTCAGTGTCAATGTCGTGCATTGTCTTTTCTATTAGCGTTTGTCAATGACATTTGGGATAAGAAGATTGTTTTGTTTATAATGATTTGACTTTTTACCAAATCGATTAATAGTTTTTCCCGTTCAATGACACCATTTTAATGTTTTTTAAGAGTAAGGTAAGTAAGTAGTAGTTTTGAAATACAAGACACGATTAGAAAAAAGATAAAATTATGCAGCGCTGTACCGCCTTCCGAATTAAAACACAATTTTGGTCATAAATAAACTGTATTTGATTTCCAATTGATTTTCCAAAAGCGAACTGTGTCAGGACGGATAAATATCAGCTTCTGAATAATTTATGTATTACAATTTGTTGTAAATCGAACGTGTCGTGGCCAATGGTTTGAAAACCTCTTTGTTCAGCTCTAGTCAGCCATCACGAATCCACAAAATGGAAAACATGACACGAACTGCTTGTTTACATTTCCAGCCCATCAATTATTAATTTATAAAAATATTTCAATATATTTAATACTGACATAATGTCATATTAGATCGTAAATAAAAATCCTAGGTTTTATCTTTATCATGTCTGTGCTCTGTAGTTTCTGTTCCCTTTGCTTTACTTTGATGCGAGTGATATGTCATTAAAAACCAATGTGTCAAATTCAAATTCGTCACCAAAAAGATTTTAATGTTTAGCACAGGACCAAGATATCTTCAAATTTTGAGATAATTTTCGGTGGCAGTAATATTGCAATAATATTATATATAGCCAATAACCAAGAACGCCCCATAAACTAATACCTATAACCAAAAACACCTAAATGATCTAAAATACATAGATAAATTCATTTTAATTATATCATACGCAAACAGTTAATTAATCGTTTTAATCGATTAAACGAAATTTTGACAGCGTAACTCTCCAAACAAATGACTGACGTCACTTCTAGAATTGATATCATTTTTAATATACTTAATGGCTTTTTATAACAATTTCCCCGTTATCTCATTATTAATTTGATAACTTCGCGAAAGTAATAATAATACGTTAATAATATCGGTTCTTATCATTTTTACTGGGAAATCCGTTATAGATCCTCGAGATATCGAGTTGAAGCGTTGTATTGAATAATAAACTGCACCTGGCATCATTATTGATTATCGTGGGTGTTATCAAACATTAATAAGTAAACGCCCATACAATTAAGTTGACAGTTTGTGTGTATTTTGTAGCTTGAAAAATATATAACCTTAAACAAGAACCTTCTTTCAAAATGTCCAATCGCGCGCCATTCCAGGCGCCATCTTTTCTTTTGTAACTCTATGACCTTAACTCATGTCTAGATATCCACCAATGGCTATTGGCAACAAGATTAAATGTTTAGGTGTTAATCACCTTGCCATCTAACATTATTAGTTGCATATTCATCGTTTTCATATAACGTCATTATAAACACACAATTTTGTTCCTTTTATAAGTGAATCAAAAACAGAAGATGTTCTTTATCATCTTGGGATGTTCCACTGAAATTTAGAAATAATTTATTTAAAAAAATCTTTCTTGCATCCCTAGCAAAGATATCTTCGATAATAACCAGAAGTGCACTTTAAAAACTCGTTTTAACTTTCACCGCATTCAAAACCACTATGTTAAGTGTATCGTCAATAATCGTCATATCAGACTTCCGCCCATTTGCATGCAATTAACGCGTAAACGACATGACGACCATATTGCTTACCAGCTGATAACACAAATCTGATTAACTGTATTATTTTTGAATTGAAATCGACACTTCTAGAATTGCAATACATCGTAATCAGTTAATAATTCCATTCAAATAAAATCATAATTCGCATTACATTGAAATTCATTGAATTTTATACTGAACTTGTGGGCCGCCCTAGCTTTGCTTGGGTGCTAATTCAAGATATTGCCGGTTAATGCATAATAATTTGCATATTAAAAAAACAATTATCCAATTTCTCGCGGTTATTTGAGAGTTGCGGGCCTACAATTAAGGGAAGTCCATTTTTAGTTCATATGAATTTCAATCAGTGTTTTCCTAGCGTAGAATTAGGGACATTCATTGCAATTAGTTCACGATTCTAGAGGAATATTGGGATAGAGCCTTCATATCCCTGATCCTGTAAACATATCTGGACTAGAAACAACCATACGTTACAGTCGGAAAGATGATCCTATAAAAATTTCGAGTCTGTGCATTCTGCACTAGTTTCGACGCATTTTCTTCTTTTCTCTTTACTATATTTGTAGATTTGTCACATTTACTTTAAAGGAAAAGAGATAACAGGACAGCTACCCACATCTTGCCTCTTTTTGCTTTGCCTTGCAAGAGGGAAGAACAATAAAGTAACTCAACCATCAAGTATCGAATTCATGCACATGGTGATAGAGGTTGAGCATTGCGAAATTTAATGAACGTGTGAAACGTTAGGCAACGTACTTCATTTTAATGGTTCTGAGGATAATGTTTAAATAATAAAATGTTATTGTTCAGCTAGCAACAGTAATTTACTGCTAACGTCCTATTTAGAGGAGACTACGAGGAAAATCAAGTAATGGGAGGCGTTTTCAGATAATTACTATAGCGAGTCCGCGATCAAACTACATTTTATTTCAAAGATTTGTTGATTTTTTATACAAATTAAGTAGAATCAAAGGAAAAAATTGTACAGTAAATAAATAACTATCCCTTATAGAACTCATGTCGTCTGATTAACTTTTTATAAGTCAACAATCGCAGATCGTCAATCGTTTATATTTAGAACCGCCTGCAAATACATAATCATTTAACGAAAGCATTAGTTACAGCTGTATTTCTGGTAAAGAAGGGTCTTTGAAAGTATGCTTTCCAGCTCTCCAATCCACCTACGGCTCGCCAAATTTCATGATTTTGATACATCTTTTAAAATTGTCAATTCCAATAAATGGTCCAATCCTCCCCCTGTCATCCTTAATCCCCAGATCTCAAAATCCGGTAATGCATTTATAACTTTTCTGATAATATGAATGTTCATGGGCGGGAATAATCGCTTACTATCAGGAGTATCAGATGACCCGTCAGCTCGTTAGCAACTCAACTCATCAAAAAAATTGCCTAGTGTCCAGCGGACTGCGCGGAGGTTTGATGTTGAAGAGTTTCAATCCAGAATGTATAGAAAAATACGTTACAGTTATTCATAGAATCTGTGCAGACTTTTTATTTTAAAGCGTTAAGTAATATTCTCTAACTAACACACCTTTTGGCATAAATAAATAAAGCAGACTATGTGAACAAACTGTTATCGTGTTACCTTGAACTCAACCGAGTTCCAACAGATGTACATTAATGCGATACCTATACATTTTGTGTACATTTTTTACACATTTGTTTTGCCAATTAAATTGAGGATGTCTTAACTTTTCTTTAACTTTTGCATTAGTCAAATTGTACATTTAAAATGTGCCCTTCTTTAAACGAGGTATTATAAAAAATTCTCTTAGCGCGTCTTTCAAATTGCGATAAACTCGAAAACTATTGAGCGCATATTGAAACGATTTTCACTAAGGGCTGCGAAGCAAAACTAAGAAGAAAATCAGAATAAACTAGTAGGAAGAAGTTGAATTATCGAAAAGCTTACACTCCGATAACTTCGACAATATTTATCCATGACAAGCTGTTTACTTTATATTATTTATCAACTACTTTACGTTATCTGTGAATATTAATATTACAAGATGTTTTCCCAAAATTGCAAAGGCCACGTCAGACTTAACGCAGACATATGAATCGGTGTCGCTGGCAGCAGATAATTACGCCATATTTTGGTAGATGACGGAGCTCCATTACCATCCCACTTTCGACCTACGTGACATAAACGACGTGTCCTATCCGCAATATTGAAAAATATTTTGGCTCTGAATTCCTTATTTGAATTTGGTTGACAGTTTTTTACTTATTTAGTTTATTTTTATGCCATATTTTCAACCAATAATATTAGCAAATCGGTTAAGTTCATCTAATAAAAAATAGTGTTACACATCTTTTTTAATTTATCATTTCCAAGATACTGGCTTTTTAGATAGGATGTTTTACGTTAGATACCTACTTTAAATACTTGATGGTATTTTAATACTTAAGGGAAGTCATTTTAAAGCCGAGACCCGGATAATTAAAGCAAGACTTTTTATCCACTTTCTACTGTAATCGTCTCTACATACTTTTGACAATCAGGATGATAACGTTTTATTTTTTACTGTCCGTCTTTTATTTTATTTTAGTACATTTCGTACTAATCGACAAAGTAAAAACCTTCCGTTCTTAAATTTAAATTCATTTTCATTAAATAAGTACTGTTTTGGTGCACGACGACTAAAAAAATACGGGTTTTTGAATTGAATAAAAAAATATTATTTATATTTTTAATTTTCATAAGCTGTGACCCTCATCTTTAAGGAATTGCCTTCTGGTATTTGATAAAAATATCCTAGAGTACTTAGAAATTGTCTTTTACGGGTCCAACAGAAACCTTTCATTCAACAACAAGCTAGACAATGCTGATTAGTGATTACATTGATAGGAGAACGTCGAAAACTCGAAAGCCGGATATTTATACGAACTGCCACATGTTAGCATCTCATCATCTTTGTAAACATTTAAATACATTGTAAGTTCAATTAATGCGTAGTTTGAGAATCTTGATTAATTTATTTAAAGCTAATATTTCTGCCGTTAATCAGCCTAATCGTTCAGTTTCCTTTATTTTATTTTTAATACGGAAAGCATTTTTACCGCAACTTTAATCTAGAGATGTTAACGCATTCTAGACTACTTAACCTCTTCGTATTTCACTTTTTTCTTACAAACATGACCGGCCTTATTACAATTTTTTTAGTCTAGGCCTAACCTAAACCATTGTGCCTGTTTTAGGATTCGGAATTGAAGATAGGTGAGAATAAGATTCAAAATTCAAAATATAAACTTTGTTTTGTAATAAGGAGGCATACAATTAATCCTCAATGATTATACCCAAAGTCCCGAAGCCAGAGTGGCTAGTGTAAGTTTTCCTAACATTAACGTGATTGAAATTTTACCGCTTTTAGCCCATTGATTGGTTGGTTAACTTGGAGCTGGGCAATCAGAACTCCGAACGTCATAAACGTCCAAACGCCGTGACGTAAAGAAAGCAAACCTGAACTAGGCGTTCAGAGGCGCGCATTGTACACTAGCCTTTATCCTATTACACTTAAGTCTCGGTGCAAAGTTTCCGACTCCGCGACATAACTAAGTACGAGTACGCAAATCTGAGAATGAAAACTCCAGTTATAACTTAATAATTTTCCTGAATCAAACTCACAGTACGAACGAAAATAGCACTTTAAAACCAACTTGAAACCGAGACAGTCGACCTGACCACGATACTTTCATTCAAATATGCTAAAAATAACTTTTACTTTTAGTTACATCACTTAGCATCATCCATTTGAATATATATATGAGACTACTGAACTTATAACAAGTTAAAGTAACACACTTACACAATCTCTTTTTACGTCAAAAAAACGTGATAATGAGAAATGTTTGAACACAAATATGTAAATGTACAAGTTTAAGCTTTATCTCTAAAAGAGAAGGATGAGATTTGTTCTTCCTTGATTGATGTTACTTATGACCTTTGTACAAATTTTAGTGATGCCACATATAGTTTTATGTTTATATTTTTTAGGTATTAGCTAAAAACTGTATGAGTACAGAGTTTTTTATAAGTTTGTTTATGGGCAAATCTTGCCTAAATAAGTCTTATTTCGCATAGGTAAGTAAAATTATTCATAAAACTACATAGTAAAAACTTTAGTTAGTTGAATAGTAGGTAAAAGTTGAACTACTAACCATTCTATTCCTGTTTAAAAGATGTATATAGATTACACTATCTAAAGATATTGTTAACTACCTACCACAGATGAAAAACAAAACACCATCCATCATAAACCAACACAGAAAGCACACTAAAAAGCAACAACAAACACACAACAAGTACTGAAAAATCTACTTACAGCATTTAGAACTAAAAGCATTAACATAGAAGAGTTAATAATTGTACCATTATGCTAATAATTACTAATAAAGAAAAAAAACATTCATAAATAAGTGCATTGAACTACATGACCATAAACAAAATTCATATAAGACCATGATACTTTTTTGAATAGTCTGTTTTTTTTTTTGTTTTTTGCAGCGAACAGCATACCTATTTCTAGGAAATTCGCTAGAAAATATAGGCAACTTAAATATATCATAAAATCAATGGTTAATTGTAAAAAAGAGTAAATAAATAATTTATTATTATTTATTATGTTGAAAATTCAAAATAATATATTTCTGACCATTTCAAATACCCAGTTATAACTGGGTATAAATATTGTAAATTAAATGTAAATTGTAAATTGTAAATTGAATGAGTAAGTAAGTATGACATTGATTCAGTTGCCAGAAAAATAATTAATCATTAAAAAAGATAGTCATCAGAGTATCAGATTTTTATCTTTGATATAAAATTTCCTGTAATTAAATGCACTTTTCATATGCCTGGAACCTTCCACAGTTGTACATATTATGTACTTAAATAAATATCCTTATTAGTCATTCATTCAATTTATTATCTATATTCTATATTAATAAAAGATAAAGCTTGTTTGGTTGAAAATCCTTCTAAAATAAAAAGGGTATTCAGAATATTGTGATAATATTTCACAGGATATTTATTTAAATATTTCCTTATCCAACACCAAAATATTTATTACAACTGAAAGATATAATGTTTATCAGTCTTACCTTAGCATTATTCGGAACTGCTCCAGTTGCCGTATACTCTCAGAGAGTCTAGAAAATGCATTAAACAGTGCAACAACCTCAGTCCTCTGCAGTCTCTCATGGGATTTGTGTCTGACAGGCAGCTTGCCCTGGTTAGGGTCAGGTTCAGGACTGTTCCATTTGCTTGAGAACAATATCTTTAATGCGGTGCCAAGGCCTTGGGTCTGCAGCTTGCCCCACAACTTGCACTTGTCGCACCCAACGCAATCCATTATCCTTGAGATATTGCGAAAATGCTCTCGGAACTCCACCTTCAATTTAGCAGCTTGGATTCCTCCATTAAACATTGATGACTCATTAAAGTGGTCAGGGAAGGAGTAAATTACACTCAGTAAGTTGTGAATTGCCTCTCTTGTCTCCTCATCCTCAGTAGGGTTGCCAGTGTAATATTCTTCCTTTTCTAAATAAGGACCAGCTTTAGCTAATGCTCTCATCTCCAACAAATAAACAAAGTATAAATTCTTCAGCCAATTGGGACCTTCTCCAAAGGTCTGTGAGGGATCAAAACGGCGTTGGAACTCTTCAAGATTTGGACCCCATTCTCCATCTGTAGTGAAACCAGCACCCTTTTCATAGAGCAAGTATTTGGAACAGAGGTGAACATTTATACTGGTATGCAAACCAGATATAGCTCTGTAGAAAACTCTCTTTTCTAAGCACATGTTGCCTAAATCTGATGTCATCACAAATGGGAATGAGCTGTAAGGATTAGGCTTTGGTCTGAAACAATTTTCCTGATATATGCTCTTCCAGATTCTATTAGCTGAGGGTCCCTTGTAGCCTGTGAATCTCTCAGGGTTTAACAACAAGTCCACATACTCAGCATCAACATCCTTGTCATCATATCCACAGAAGTTCTCTAGGGCGTCATCATAAGCTTTCCATTTGGCAATTTCATGTTGACTGGCAGCACTGATGGTCATATTTAAGTAGCCCAGATCATGATCATGGTCTGCATCAGTGGCGCAGTTACCCTGTGCTTCCTTCGTGTACTTTGTGGCTGGAGTTTCATCCAAGTGATCATTTTCGTAGCCATTCTCGTATCCAGGCACACTTTCCTTGGAACATGTTTTAATATGACAATACCTCATAGCACACTTACTATCATCAGCCCAGAACGGACATTCTTTTTTCAAATTCACTTTGTAGAAGCGAAAGTAGTCCTTCCTCACTAGACTCTGAAGGCGCGGGTAAACCTTTACGTTATTAAAGTAATCGATGGTGTCAACATTGCACGAACAGTCGCCTAAAGACCCGTGGAGCTCGTCAAAGCATGCATTGCTGTCGCAAGGCTTTGTTTCATACAACTCGGTGTCGTAACCCACCGCTTGAACTATCACTAGAGCGAAAATTATAAACACTACACAATAATTTCTGTATGCCATTTCGGTAGCGACTTTCGCCATGGCATGAGTATTTCTATTATATATATTTAAGTAGACGACCGTGTTCTATCACAGCACATTTAAGAATGATACTAATGAGTATTCACAAAGTGGTGAAAGTAGAGGTAAATTCACCGAAGACGAAACCGTAGGACGTGCTCAAACAAACGTTCGCACTTTTCATGATTCAAGACTGGTTTGACACTGACAATTCCAATTTGACAAATCGATGCAACCCATGTAGTGTCAAAGTGAGAGTTGCGTTCGAACATAATTACACTTTAAAATTGATGATCATATTCAATTGAATGTGTCTAAACGAATCATGACGTGCGCCAATAAGATTCCTTGCTTAATCAGTAGGATAAAATTCTCGATAGTTTAACTTATTTCATTTTCATCTGGAATTTTATGCAAATATAAATTTATTCTGTATTCCTTGAAGCTATACTTACAATTTTTAGTTTAAATAATAATATTAATAGGCTTTTTAATAAATTTTGTAGTAATTTGACTGATCAATATTGATATTGATTTCCTTTAATAGGAATACGTGGTAATGCATTTAGTTGGTTCACGAGCTATCTCACAAATCGTCAGCAACTAGTAAAGGTGGGAGACGTAAGCAGTGGCCTGCTACCAATTAATTTCGGCGTTCCTCAGGGAAGTACTCTTGGCCCTACTCTCTTCGCCTTCTATATGAACGACGCACTTAATGCTTCAATACCTAACGCTGAAATCATCTCATATGCAGATGATACAGCTATTATTCTCCGCGACAAAACCTGGTATCATGTATATCAGCTTGCTGAGAGAAGCCTCACTACTGTAGCTGGTACTCTCGATAAAAATCTCCTTACACTTAATATAAAAAAGACAAAACACATAGCATTTTCAAAGACATCAGCCTCCGGTCCTCCACGACACATAATACACCTCCCAATGTCACCAACACGTATTTTTATTACAATTAATATATTATATTATTAATCCTGCAAAAAAACTTTTGTCCACACTTACGCTAGCAAATGTTTGATTTATAATTTATGTTACCACAACTCAGGTCCTCAAGATACAGGCATAGCCTAGTTTGGGGACCACTAATATTAAAATAATGTACCTGCACTCATAGTTACAATAGTTTATAATGTACCTAAGTTACTTCGATAAGGACCTAATGTACCTAATTGTAACAAGTGGAACAATAAATTTAATAATAATTTAATTGAATAATTTAACTTTGGATACCCTCTTTTTAAAGCATGCTTATGGATAGATGTTTGTTACTCTTCTCCTTAATAAAGTGGCACCAAAATAGCTTTTAGTTTGAACAAAGACTTTATTTATTAGGGTAGCACACCACATAAATTCCCTGCAGGTAATTTGCTCTATTATTCTGATTTTCATGAAAATCGTATAAAATGCCACCCCTTGTTGGGGCACTATAAGAGTAGGTAAGTACTTACCTATACCTATGGGTAGATGGGTACCCCATCTGACTAGGATGAAACAACAATAAATCTTCTTAAAATTGAAGTGAGTTTTTTTAAATTAATTTCGTTACTCAACATCATGCTTCAGCACGAATGGGTCGGCTCGAGTGCTGCACCACGGAACGGAGTGATACCACGGTCCCACAGAAAACCGGCGTGAAACAACCACAGCGTTGTGTTCCGCCGTGTGAATGAGGTTACCGGAGGCCCAATCCTTCCCCTTCCCCAATCCCTAAATCTCAAAATCCCTAATCCCCAAAAGGTCGGAAAGGCCGGCAGCGCATTCGTAATCGTAAATCCCCTGTTGTAGCGGGCGTCCATGGGCGACGATGATTGCTTACCACCAGACAAGCCGTCTGCTCGTTTGACGACCTATCATATAAAAAGTAGGGTTTGTTTCGGTGTTTTCCGAAACTTATAGTCATTCAGAGAAAAAACTAAATGTTGAAGTAGAAAATTTATTTATTCCATACAATACAATGTAATTCATCCACAAAAGCAGTTTCATCAGAAATGCACAAAAGAGATTCAAAATACAATAAACAGACATTTGCTCCCGACTTCGTTTACTATTTACACAGGCTTGTGAAATGTGTAATAAAACCTTACAATATATTATAATAGAAATGCATAAATATCAAAATTTTAACACTTTAAATATCATTATGTAAAATGGACGTACTTACACAATAACGCCGATTTATGAAAATACTTTATTTAATATAATTTCTATTGTTTATAACAAACAGTCACTTAACTAACTTAACAATAGATACCTAAACTTTATATTTTTTAAATGGTGCAACAAAAGAGAATGAATAACTAATATAATGGTAAGGTACAGCGCGTTAGACATCTACAAGGGATCAACATTGTAATCATGTTAAAGGTTACACGATAAAATACAACAACGTATCGTCTTATAAAAGTTAACTTGAATGGAAGAGTTTACTTTTGTCTCTCAACATAGTAATAAACAACACGAAAGTTTAAAATCTAAAATTAAAACCAAGTCAGAATACAGATAACATACTTTTTTATGGAAATGAAAATGGCAACAAAAGTAAACTGTTCCTGAATAAAATTGTGTTTTTATTTTTCGAAAAGGTGGGACATGCGCTAGACCAAGCTAATCTTAACTTAACTTGTACATAAGTAACTTATATTTTTGTATCTGTCGTTGATTTATATTTTTCTTATTCGAATGTTATTTTCGTGACGTCTTCGTTTTAGACATACCTGAAATTTTACAAAATAAAAACATCATCAGTATATTCTGCTGGTATATCTGTAAAAAAGAAAACACACAAACGGAACTATTTGTAAATTGGATCTACGAACACTGGTACCATTGAATATTAAACACAAACACAATTAAAGGTACAAACATAAATACTATTTTACAACATAATTATTTTTAATTAAGTACTTTTTTAGTCTAACCTTTTAACCTTCTATACCAAATAATAAAAATAACTAAAATTAGTATAACTAATAGTACAACAAAAAATACTTCTACAAGTTTTCTTTTCGATTAAAATTAGAATTTTTTTAAATTTATTAGAAGTAGAAATTATTTCGTTTTATTTCTCATAAAAATAACTTCCACAGTTTTGAGACTTGAACAAAAAAAAATACATGGCAAACTAAAAACAAATAAGGTCTAAACAACACACAAAAACATAGAAACATGCGTAGTATTAGTATTATTATTTACAAAATTGTGACTTACCTAAGATCATGCTTTAGTCAAACAATTCCATTTATTGTAGGTATATATAATTTTGTGCAATGTGTAAAGCTTTGGGGGTTGCCAGTTCATAAAATTGAGCCTTAAAACTAGAGGTGTGATTAGTAAAACAAACAATTTTACACACATTCTTTATTGATTACAAAAATTCTATCAAATCAATCAGTGCAAGGCACAACTCTGTCTCTACTGTATCATAACTCCACACATCCAAAGAAAAAAACAACAGTGTCTTTGAACTCGACTTTTTTTTTATTTGGCACAAACATTTAAAGAAGGTAGTTTTACGCTTTAAGTCTGTGCAGTATTTAAGAAATATTTAACAAATAAAGGTCTAGTAATGGCCTCCAATATATATTTTATTAAATAGAATCAAGTCAAAACTAAAAAGATAGTCAACATAGTTATTTAATTTGAATTTTTATCAATAAACTTACGCACCTAAAGTTTTCTAAACATGTTTTATGAAAATACAATATCACATAGCAAGATTCTAAATGTTTACACATATAAAAATAAATGGAGATTCCTTAGATCGAAACTTTAAACAGAGATACATAATATATTATTTAGAAAGTTATAATGTCCCAGAGACTCTTAACATCTTTATTAATATTTTAATAATTATTTTGGAGTTGTACATAATATAGGAAAGCTAATTATGAAAACGCTACGAGTTCTAATAAATATAAATTAGATACTGGAATGATTTTATGAGATTTTATATTTTTATTTAAATTACGATAATGTATTATTATTTTGTTAAAAATGCGATGTCTTTGTAATTTTATGATTTATGGCATGAACTTGCTTTACTTTTTTATTTATTAACTTTTAATGAATGAGACAAGCCAAGCAGCTATACCAGTGCGGTTTCTCCAATTTATCGTAGCTTGATGTTTAGTAGCCTAATAGCCGTCATCTTAGATATCTTATCCAACGGACAGGGTACTATAAAATTCAGCGTTATGGTTATAAGTATAGATATAAGATTACCTTTGTGATTACATCAATAAACTCTTCATAAAATAGTTTGTTACTAACCTTTTTAGTTATAAATCCTACATGTTGATGGAAATTGTTTAAAATAAAATGTAACATGACGTCACCGGTTATTACAAGCGCGATTACGAGAATGTAATCAAAAGTTAGTTTTTTAAGTTCATTGCGTGACATCGTTAGTGAAGCAGATTATAAATGGTTAAAAGCGTTAATATAATATTAGACATTTAATTTATTAAAATATATCAGCAATTATTAATATCATATATTTTTGTCAGAATTACGCACTTTTTCTCTTTTCTGAAGTTGAACAGGCTTACTGTTAAAAAGTGCATTTTTAAAACATTGACTGTATAATTAAAATATTTAATATTATAAAATCTGTCACCCAGAGTTTTGTGTCGTAGTGCGTAATTCTGTCAATTTTGCATTAAGTATATAATAGTTTATATTTAGCCTTAACGTGAATACCACTTGATTTAATCAAGCAATTTATATGGCAATTACAAATATTTGAGATTCACCCTTTAGACACAATCTCATATGAAATTCAAAGGCGTTATTTTATGCTACTTCTAGCGCCATCTCTTATCAAAATCTTAGAACTACAATTCAAATAAAAACGAAATATTTCAAAACTAAAGTCGTATTCTAAAAATGAATGATTTAAAATATTCGGTAAACCGTCGAACGCTGTAAGTAGCATTTGTGCTTGCTATTAATTCGTGTCCCAAAATCAATCAGCCATGCAGTGTACAGTCCGCTCACAAAATTAGTTAACAAGTAAAAAAAATCAGAACCAAAAAAAATAGTGTTCATAGGTACCAGTTTAAGTGTACAAAATATTAGTAGCGAGACCTTCTGTCCATATTTCTTATGGAATTGGCGAGACACAGCGCGAACAGCGCTCCGACCACCTGGAACATAAACAATTTGTATTAACAAGGAGACAAGTAAGGAATCATATGTATCTGAAATAAACACTTCGAGGACCAACATTTAAATTTTAATCAATTTCGGCTATGTAATAGAAATAATACCATGACCTTTGACGCACTTCAATGTCAAAGTCAAATTCAAAATCATTTTGCCAACTAAACCATAAACAGGTACTTTTGAAACGTCAAACTATATATTAAGTCTGTCAGTCTGTTCGTCAGTGAAGCTAGGTGGTCACTAGGACTTGACGTAGATTCCTGTTCTTAAACGTAAAAATATAGTAGATATTTATACTAATGACTAATGAGTTACAATGAATACGTACCTCAATACAGGCGATTCCGATGGCGACTCCAGCAATAGGCTTGTTCCATTTCTCGTACAAGTCGGAGATGACACTGGCGCAGCCACGGTTAGCGACCTCGATTGTGCACTTGCCTCCGATGACATGCCCGAAAGTGCTAGTGGTGCTGCAGCAGGACTCAGGCAGGGTAAGGCTGAGGCCGTAGTCTTGGGGACCATTCTTACCACAGCAATTGAACTGAAATTGAGAGTAAGAAGGTGGTTTAGATATATCAATAAGACCTCTCAGGATATTTTGATTTCTTTGGGAACTAAATGTGCTCATATGAACTTTTGACCACGGGACGTAATTTGCCTGCGATTAGTCTGTGCCGTTAAATGTTTTGTAGTTTTGTAGTTCCTAATTAACAAGAGTTCGCAGTATCTTTCTCTTGTTTACAAGATATTAAAATGTACCTGTTGTTGAATGTTGTTGATGATAGCGTCCGTAGCTTTGTCAACGGAAGCACTGGACCTCTTGTCGAAGAGCGCGTTGACGGAGTTGACGAGGCTCTGTTTGATCGTGTCACCGTAGGCGAATAAGAGTACACCGATTACCACTTGCACGATGATTATCACCAGTAAGAAGATAGCGTACTGTAACAAAGAATTATTAAGGTTTATCAAAGTTGGGAAAGAAGTGCCAAATTCTGTATTACTTTTCTATAAATTATTTAATGTTGGTGGCAACACTTTTCTATAATAACAATTTTTGATCTACAACGAAGTTTTTATGTGATAGAGCGGTAATCGATCATACGGATTACCTGATGGTAAGCAATCGCCGCTGGTTTCGAGAGCGTTGTCGCCTTTTGGGGTTACGGAGATTTATGGATTAAGGAGGGATGAGGGAAGGGAAGGATTGAGCCTCACTCGCACGGTGAAACACAACGCTGTGTTTGTTTCACGCCCGTTTTCTGTGGGGCCATTTGTGCGGAAGCATGGCTCTCCCACACTTAGTATTAATAAGATGGTCCATCGTGACATCGCATTATACCTATCTATACATGGAAAAGTGTAAAACGGATGTATTTCACGGTTGACATTCCATTTCGGAGAACCACGGTTGAGTACAGTATCGAAATGACACTCATTGTATTGTTCGGTGTGTTTGTCAGTTGAAACTGAAGCGTATCTGCTTGTTTTTCGCCCTAAGTGTACCGTAGGAATGTGCCAAAGGCCATTCTACCAAATCTTAGAATGGAAATCTAAACATTATTTCTATATTATATATTATATATTTTTATAATGCTTTTAAGCTACGCTCAACATCAATAATTTATGCATGATGTGCTTACCTTTAAGAAATTGGTACACTAGCTTATAAGTCTCTTGGATGTATCATGTTATTGTATCAGTGTACTCAATTGTTGGTGAGCCAAATAAATAAAATAAAAATAAAATTAAAAAATTCACTATAGTATTTTAATGACTATTTTCTTTAGAAAGGGACAATGAGACTCTTATTGGCCTCAACGACTTTTTTTCTCTTTGTCGAGAGATCAAGTCTTTTTTAGCAAAAACGTTCGAAAAAGGATCTTAATATTCCCTAAAAATATCGAATGAATACATACCGTGACAACCATGCAGTGACTCTCCCGTATCGCTCCGCAGCAACCGAAGAAGGCGATCACGAACATAATGGCTCCTATGATGATGAACACCCATGGTGCTACCGTCAAGTGTGACTTCAACTCATCCTTCACAGCCGCCCAGTTCAACTGGACCGCCACTCCAATACCTATTACCGCTAGGCCGAGGAGCTGTGGAAGAAAAAGTTAATTTAAATTACATTGCATTCTTCAAAATTTTTGTTAAGAACCTAGATTTTCTCATAAGTAAGGAAGGCCACCTCATCGGTTAATCATAATGTGTAACCGATGAGGTGGCCTTTCTGTCTAACAGATGGCGCTAGGGAGGTTTTTGGGCTTAGGACCTATAAGTTCGATTAGTTAAGTAATTTAGGTGACTAACAATAACTTGAAATGAAGAGATGTAATTTATAAAGAATTAAAAGAATTTAGAGAAGATACGAGCGCCTTAAATGGCGCAATAACTTCATTTGTACCCAAGTATCACTGCTTAAATAGATTTAGACCTTAGCAAAAACGCCAAAAATTACTTTAATAAATTCTGATGTGTATTTTGTCGCGAGTATCGAAACCAACGACTACACATACCTAACTCAAAGTTAGCTAGCGTATGTTGTGAATTAATAATACTACTCGATATCTATAGTTAAACAAAATTATCAGAATAAACATTAACATACATTATACATTTGTGTGTAGATCGTTTCCGTTTGAACAGGCTGACATTGACTAAGTCAACAACTCTAGGTAATTTCTAATTAAAAAAAAAGGAGACTGTACACACAACAACAACAGATATTTATAGAGGTAATTGAAGGTTACAGAAACAGAATACAGAGGGCGTTGTCTCCTATTTTGCAATAAAAGTGTTCGTTAGAAACAAAAAAATATCGCTGAGTAAGGTACTTAGCGCTCAACTCGAATTATTTGATATATTTGGCCCTAAACGGGGTAGGTCCGGGTAGGTCTTATTGAATAGAAAATGTAGGAAAGTGGTGAATTATTATATTGACACGCTTTGATTGCTAAAACTTTACCAACCATTAAGTTGAGTTTGTATATAATATCTATCGAAAATGTTGTAATCGTAAATACGACATTATTTTACTCGATTATTGAATCAAAAGACTGAGAGTTTTCCATCACGAAGTAAGGTCAATTAACAAAAAAACTACTCGTAATGAACAAAAAGTTTACTTCAATCTACTATTGAGTAATCTCTACACAAAAACTTGATGTTTAGACTTCCTTAGTTCCAAGCAATGTCTGTTTTTTTTCCAACATAACATGTAATGGGTATTTTTTCATCCGTACATATGTTCATGGTTTTTAATTCTGGAAAGGTTAAGCAGGGGTAAACAATGCACACACATATATTTCATTCAATTAAACAAAATTTTTTTGCTTATTATTATTCTAGTATAACCTGGTTTGTGTAAGCCTATTAGATTACTACAGACCGAACACGATTACGTATTAATTTGAAACTCGAGATAAGACAGGATAAGATTTTTGTACAAAAAATCTGCTGTAAGTCACTATTCCACGCGAACGGAGTCGCGGGCAAAAGCTAGTTATAAATATTTTGCCAGACCCATTCGTAACTCGGCAGTCGGCAGTTGCACATAGAGAAAAAAGAAAATCGACTTAAATCTTTTTAAATAGAATTTTACAAATGAGTTTTATTAAGTGCCTTGACCATTTCTTGGTTAACGTCGATGACTCAATCGCAAGTAGGCTATCTGACCACCTAATCTATCAGGTCACGGTCATGGAGCATAATGGTATTGCTAAAAGTGACTCCGCCTTTGTAATTGCCCACGAAATATTGATGCAATCACAAAACTATTCTTTAGTATACTTTTTTTATTTGAAATATGTACTTTATTTTTAACATCACACGATAGCATATTATTCAAATAAAAAGCTGACGTATTTTTTGCATGGCCAGTTTGAAAAGATACATAGAACAACCAAATTCTAAATTTGAATTTTGTTTTCGATTTGCGTTGTTGATAAGTAGTTACATAATAAAAAAAAAAGGTAATGAACCAAAGTAAAATGCTACAGCATTTATAGTTTTAGAAAATTACATACAAATTGGCTAAAACGAGAGGAAAAACATTAATATTATTCTTTACAACACTAATACTACAATGACCTTCAAATTCTACATAACGATTTGCTAAATAGGGAACATGCGATCATAAATTATCTTTGGATCAAAAAAATACAATGAACGAAAAATACAAGCATTTTTACTCTTTTCTATATTTTGACACCTAGTCTTTTAGCGTTACATTTTACATTCAAATAGCTGGTAATATTTGATTTTCGTTATTTAATTCCGGTTGTATTACGAACTCTTTAGTCGGAGTCGATTTAATGGCTGAGTTCCGAAAATAGGTTCGAGCTGTTGACCGACCACGTGCTACGTTGGCCATCGTGGTTTTATTTTAGTAAAACGAAAACAAGAGTATTAAATGATGTTGATGTTATGTTCGCTGTCTTATCTGTTTTGGGGTCAGCAGCTTAACTGAACATGTGGGATCAATGTCGGAAGGTCGTTTTTAAATAACTTTAATGCGTTATTAATTAATGGCAGACAGAATTCACATTGATGCGATATTTTTTAGGGAAAACTTCGTTGGCATGTGCCGCCCAAGCCCAATATAATTAAAACTTAATTAATCCAATTCTAAATCTATTATTGGCGTTTTAGAATCTCCTGGTTAGTATGATTTGGCATTTGTATATGTTTATACTTTATGAAACCTATTACATCTACCTAGTTATAAGATTCAGATAATATTTAATACACGAATATTATTCTCAATGTACTTAACCAATACAGTTCCAAATAGATTTATACTTCCATATAAAATAATTTATACGTTTTATCTTTAACAATAATATTCAGAGAGTTAACAAAAAGCCGGAAGTAAATTGGGTACAATTCACACGGCTATAATTCAAACCGTATTCATATCCCTACAGAGTATAAAACATACCTAATCGCTTTCTCTGTCCCTATATCCCTATGAACCATTAAATCTATAAAACTACGCGACTGATTTTGATGCGGTTTTTTAATAGACAGATTGAATGAAGAGGAAGGTTAAGAATGGTTTATATGTATAAGTAAAAAATTCTATAAATAGTTTAAAAATTTAGTCGGATCTCCAAGTAAAGATTAATGCACATTAATGACCTAATTATAATCAATCAACGCCCCATCTGATCTCACGAGCTCACATCGTTGTCATGTTAGTTATTTCCTTCGACGTGACGTCACAGTGACCCCCTTTTCACGCGTACACCGAGTTCGCAACGAAGGAAAACATGGTCGACCGTACTTATACGTTTCTCGGTTTCTATTTGTGGTTTTTAGTGGAATAAAACCAATATGTAATGATAACATTAATAACATTACAGCTATATTGATATGCGGGTTCAAACACCTAACTGTTTGGAAAATGCGATTTTTCACACTGCTTTTGGTAGCATAGCAACAATGACTGTTCTTGACAGTAAGCAGACACCGTAGTACAACAATAACCCATTTGCGACACCAGAGACCTCTTGACAAGAATTACAGGTGCGTCGCCAACCGTTTAATTTTTATAGGCGTCATCGTCTCTGGATATAAGTATTATCAGTTTCTAAGTGCGTATTGTAACATTTGTAACATTGTATTCTGATAACCTTTCACAAGAACAAAAAATTAATATTTAAACTTTGGTTAGCTAGAAATTTTGGCACAAATGCACAATAATATATATTTTAAAAGTTATAATCTATCAAATCAAATAACATTAAAATACTTTCTCTTTATTACATTATTGCAACCTCAAGTTGTTTCATAACAGACTACGATCAAGCCAGATGTTTTATAAGAGTTGCCATTATAAAAAAGTCCAATAACACGTGTAAAATGGCAACATCTGCTAAACTTGTTTACCAAACATTGGCTTCAATGGATTTTTTGTTTGAGACATATTATGCAGGTATTTTAACATTTTTTCATCTGTATTGTGTGATGGAATTGTTGCTAACTGTCAATGTATGCTTATAGAAAATAAAAGGGCATGAAACTGTAGAGCTAATGTCTCATTAAGTCTCATAAGGCTTCATAAATACCGCCATATTTAATTAAGCTGGTTTTAACGAAGGGTATATAATTTCAGTACTAGACTAGCTGTAGTATTTTTAGCCTTGTCGTTTTTAGCAACCTAGGTTCAAACGTTAAATTCATTCTGCTTCTAGTCGATTAGATAATAATGTTGTATGTGTTGTACATATGTCCATATTATGCTAATAACTTAATAACAGTCTTCATGTATTATTTTTGTATAGATAAACTTACTAAAAAGTCTTTGGAAGCGATGTTTCCAATTTGATTATCCTAATGCCTTCAAGTAATCACGTAGATCTTTAAAACAAAACAAACCCTATGTTGTTTTAATTTACCTTCAACGTGACATGGCGTGACATGTTGTATATAAATAATAACTTACAATTCCATTAATTAACAAGATCATGTAAACATGCAATCAATAAATTCTACTCTTATTGGCTAAACTTGCCGCTAGATGGCATCTATGTGCTAAGGTTGTGTAATTAGAGCGTAACTCTTTTTTACGTAATTTTACTCACACATTTAAGCATTTAAAAAATCGTATGTTGAATGTGTACACAGAGATCACATTTGACCTTGTTTTATGATAAAATATTTGATTTCGTTACTTTTAAGTAACCTATTTTTATTTAATTTTACTCAGTTGATAAGAAAGAATTCCTCTCGCTTCTTCCATAATTGTAACAGATTCTTGATGTCAGTTACAGGTTAAAGTCTATCTGCGTGTTTCATTTCATCAATATAGATTAAGATGTTGTGTGCAATGATGTATAAAACTATAGATACGTTGTCCGCGCTCTAAAATGACAACATGAAATGAAGGCAATTGACAACATCGCGCTTAGTTACGCACCAACCGGCCGCGCGACGCTACGTTTGTTTTTAATTTATATCGTGTGTGTAAACCTGTGCGAAACATAAAGGAGGCATGCCGTGGTGTGTGTTCAGACGATGTACAAATTATACTCCAAAAGTTAAAGACAAAAATGTGTCATTTCATGCGTAAGTTCACCAAACAAACTATTTTTATTTT